TTAACATATGAGGGAGTCGCAGTTTAGTCCACAGCAGCTACACTTTAATTTCTATGTTTTTTCCCCCAAGCACAAGCAGTTCACCCTGTGCTCTTTGTAGCTTTGTGAATTGCCTTACCATGAACAGAAGTCGTAGATAGAAATGAATCAGTCTGTCCAGTCTAGAGACAGAAAAATAAGTTACATAAAAATAACTTGTGTAACCCTCTCTGAGTCTCACTTGCCAACCACAACTCAATGCTATTTCTCACTGAGAATAGTGATTACTGGCCACTCTTACCAAAATCCTTCTACTTCTTAAAAATTCATTCCTTATTCAAGAATCTTTCACAATTTTGTGTTTCATGCTATTCCTAACTCTATGTTTAAAAACAAAATAACCCTGGCTTAAAAAAAATCTTGCTGCTTTCTCACTAGAATTATTAGAAATGCAATAAAACTATATGATAACTACAGCCTTCAGTAAACTATTTAAATTTATTATTTTTTCATGTGAAGCATTTAAATTATAAACAAATGATTTCACAAAAGATACAAACATATTCTTGGAATGAGGATGATATCCCAGAATATCTTTGGAATGAGGAAAATATCATGGGATAGTCACATAAGCAGGTAGCATTGACACCTGTACACGCTGTTCCCTGTGGCCCCTTGCGGTCACCGAGAAAGGACTGCTCTTGAAAGCCAGTGGCAGTGATCCCCCCAGGTAGAACACCTAAGCCTCAGGAAGTCAACTCCTGAATACACTCTGCACTGATCTTTGGTTCAGAAAGGTCTCTTTTGATTAGGTATAATTTGTTCTGAATACCTGTAGAGTTATCTTAATGTTTATAATAGGCTTTCCATTTTTAAATTTGATTTTTGAGAAAATAAAATGAGCCTTTAGTTAGGGTACAGTGCCACTGATTACCAGTGATGTTGAAAACTAATGTACCTCACCCTTTCTTTTTTCTTAACATATTATACTCTGGACCAAAATGGTCCCTTCTTCTTCTACTTCCTCCCTGCCCTACTCCCCCTGCCCTTTATGTCCAGTTATAGCAGTCTATTAATCTGATAGAATTTTAAGATTGTGCTCTTAGGAGAAACTTTGAGAAGGAATGCACAATGTTAATTAGACAGATTGTTATAGAGATTGGGCTAATGGAGGCTATAATGCAGATTGCTTTCATCCTCTGCCATGATTGCAACAGGAGTATAGCTTTCCTATGCTTTCCTGCCATGTTGTTCTCCCCCTTTAAAATGGTCACTGAACTTCTTTGCATTTTGATATCTGAGCACTGAAGTCTTCCAATTTGGGGTTTCTTTCTGGAGAGCACACTGAAGATAACTTCAGATATTTTGTACTAGTGAATGTAAATTTTTTTAGTGACAGGATGCCTATTTAAAATGCCTCGATTGATGGTAGGGGCTCAACACAATTTTCTTTTTACCAATTACACTTTTGGAAAATATGTGTTGCACATAGCAGGTAAACTTCCAAAGTGTTTCCTTGACCTGGGGAATCAGTAAGCTGTCTTGCCATGGCTGCGCTGATTTCCAAAGCAGAGTCCTTATGAATTAAAAACTATCTGTGTACTTTTAATAAAACAGGGACATTTATTTATGACTCACTTTTTAAAAGTTAGAATTAATAGTTATACTTGCAATACCATTGTTAAGTTTCTTCCTTTCTGGAGGAAGGGAAAGGGAATGTGTTGAAACTTAACCTCACCTGTCACCTGCTTCTGCTGAGCCAATGAGAGGGAGGAGGAGGAGGCTCCTTTTCATGCACATTAATACCTGAGAAATTTTGTTGTGCTTTACTTCCCAGATCTTTCATTTGCTTGTCAAAATGTGGTCATGACCGTGGAGGTGGTTGCATGTGTTGCATCTTCCACCCTTAAAACAAAACCTAGGCAAGCTTTGAGCAAATATCAGTGTTTTGGGAGATGCTGCCAAAGTTTAAAGAGGTGAAGGCAGGCTGATTGCTGCCTGCAGTATCTATTACCAACATTTCACACGTGATGGCTTTCTCAGGCAACGGCTCCTGAAAGACCACTGAGATGAGAAGACAGGCAGGTGGATTCCCAATGATGGGTTAGAGAGTCAGAGCTGCCCTGGTCTCCGGTCTTTGTGTCTGCTGTTCTTGGCCTTCCTCCCAGGCTCTTAGGGGCCCAGTGAAAGACAGCATCCTCTCCACACTGAAGGATGTGCTGCTAGCCAGGGTTGTGGTTCTGATTTACATGGCACACATCCATTCTCTAGTAAAGTGCCTGAGTGAAAAGTAAGGAAATGACCTCAAGGTGTGATGTGGAGAGGCATGACAGCCCTGGCCTGGCACATCCCACACAAGTGGGTTACCCTTAAAAGCAGCAATAGGAACAAGCAAACTGCATGCCAAAGTGCTACTGAAAACTCTTACATAATTGTAGCAGGTTTGGGTTTCCTCTGGTTCAAGTTGTCTTGCCTCGCTGATAATCAGACGATCTGAAGAAAAGCATAGGATTTCAGGGGAGAATCTGCATGACAGCCTCACAATGAGGCCATTCACCACGGCCCTTTCATTAGCTCACACGCGATCTGCATCATTCTCAGACTCTGGCATGGCTACAAGGCTCCATTTAAACTTAACCCAACTTGCAGACTTAACTGATCCAGGAATGACTCAATACAACCAGCCAGCTACTGTAGCTCTTTTCCCCTCTTGATAAGGGAATTTAACACAATGGGCTTTACAGTTCTTAAATGACTCCATTTTTTTCTTGTCTTTGAAATGTGGTGCTTATGTGACCTTTTGTTCTTAATACAATTTCATGTGGCTTGATTATATTTTTTGAAAGTCTACACAAACATGATATGGACCGCCCCTCCTATGAATAAATCTTTTAAAAAATCGTACAGATGATATAGAAGTAAATTCATATGTCCTACATCCACATAGCTGATTTCAATATGTTAGATACTACAGTATTATGAGCTATTAGATATAGTTAAATCAAACTTGGAAAGATTTTTCTTTATTTTTGAGGATTGATTGTAGTTAATACAACTTATAGTAAGCACTTCAACACTGAATTTCTATTGTTGCACTCTTCTGGTTATTTTCACTATCTTCAACGATACATGAATTTAACATTTCAGTGAAATCGTCCAGGTGGTAAGAGGCCATGAAGTGACCACAAAGCCAGTAGACCTGTGTTTCCCTTCAAGGCATCCTTGGTGGAAGAGGGCACCCCTGAAATGACAGTGGAGAGGACATCCTGTTGGGTACATTTGATGCCCACTTTTTTCAAGGGTAGTGAGAACTCAAACTGGATGCACAGCTGAAAATACTGCTTCAAAAGCTTTGGGAAGCACCAGGATGCTTGTTATTAGCAGGTGCCTAGGCTCCACCCTCAACACCCCCCCCCCAGACTGATTCAATAGATTTGGGGTAGAGGCCAGAGAAATTGCATTTTTAGATAAGCACCCAGTAGACTGATAGGTGACTATTGGATCATAGTGAGAATCATGATGCTGAAGTTACCAGGGAATGGTGGGAGTCCAGGCTGCCTCACCCCTAGCTGCTGTTGCCCCCAGGTTAGCAGGGACCCCACTCTGTTGTAATCCCCAGAGGTAGGAGTGGCAGAGCAGCAGGACAACCCTTGTGCTTCAGGGTCTTGAAGCCACATGAACATCCACTCCTATTTGCTCACATCCATGTCAGGGTGGGGCCCACCTGCCACTGTGTCATGTACCTAGGACCATGCCTTCCTGTGGGCCTGTGCTGGCTGCGTGAGGCTGTCATCTCACTGTCGTCCAGCTTTGTAATTAGAGGGTCTGAGCAGTTGTTATCTGCAGTAATTAATCCAAATTTATTTCTCTATCCCCACCCCCACCCCTATTAAAGTTGTTTTCAATTATTAGAAACAAAGGTCTTTTGCAAAAGGACTCCCAATTAGAGATGGATCCTCAGGGAACCTTTTGGGAATTATGTGTCTTTATTTCACGAAGATGAGCTTTTTTCTTGAAGACCAGTTGATTGAATGGTCAGAATAGATAGGGGAAGGTAGGAAAAGTATGATGACACCATTGAGGTTTGCAGCACTTTGCTGGGACTGTTGTTGTGGGTTCTGTTGTGGGATCTGTCCCCATATAGCTGGCACACTTTTTATGGTGAAAATTTTCAGTTGGCAGACTTCATTGCTCTATTTATTTAGGTATTTACTTATGTGTGATGCCAGAGGTTGAACCCAGGATCTTGCATGTGCTAGGCAATGCTCTACCACTGATGCTCTACCTTCTCCCCCCAGCAGGCTTTTGCTGGTGAGAATTTTCAGGCCTATGCAAAAATAGAAAGTACTGATACTGATCACTCCCTTTCCAGGGGGCTCAAGATGTTTTTAGTGGCCTTTTCCATTCTTTAATTTCACTGGTGGTTTATAGGGGAGAAAAAGTGATCTTTTTTGTACCCACTTCAAGGTTCAAGCCTGAGGCCTTATAACAAAATTCAGATTAATAAGAGAAAAGTATCCAGTTTATTTAAAATAAATTTTATATGACAGAGAACTTAGAAACCAAGACCCAAAGAAACAGGGAATCTTGCATCCTTTATACTCAGGTTTGATGAAGAATGGACAGCTACACGGGTGTGATTGCACAAGGGCGTCTGACCTAATAGTCACAGCTGGGGAAATTAGCAAGGCACGTGTTTGGATTCTTGCCTGTGACCCTGTGTCTTCAGAGACAAGGATGCTCTTTTCCTCTTACATTAGGGTCTTATGATCTGCTTTGGGGGCAGGTAGATAACTTTCTGACAGCTGGCTTCAGGGGAGAAAGGTGAGAATACTTCAGGGAGACCTTCCTGTTTCAGCTGTTTTCTCAAATGCCTAAGTGCCTTATGTTGGGGTGGTATGTTCTGAACCTTGTGCTTTTCAAGCTGTGTCCCTTTAGGAATGTAGTGAACATGCAGTGTCTTGCTTGGGACCTTGCTCTGTCCAGAAATCATAAGTTGTCCTTTAAATGTGTTCTTTCAGGAATGTGTTCCGGAAAACCTAGAACTGAAGAAGAAGATTTTTTCCCAGCTAGATCGCATTGTGGATGACAGGGTCATCTTAAGCAGTTCAAGCTCTTGCCTCCTGCCTTCTAAACTCTTTGCTGGTTTGATACATGTGAAACAGTGCATCGTGGCTCATCCTGTAAGTATTTTAAACCCAAGGAGACGATGTGGTGGAGGATGCTTATAATCACAGCTAATCTGGAGGCTGCAGTATGAGGACCACTTGAGCCCAGGAGTTTGAGGCCAGCCTGGGTAATGTAGCAGGCACTGCTTTTTTTAAAAAAAGTAAACCTGGGGCATGTATTGTATCTCACCCCATTTTGGATGGGGGCAATAAATTCTAACAAATCCCTCTGAATTTTGAATTGCTTTATTGAGATAATACCAGTATTTTAAGAAAGAATATATTTTAACTTTCTTGGATTTTTGTCTACACACATGGAATGAGCAATATTTGAGGCCTCAAGTAACTCATCATATAGCCAAGAAGGCAAACTATTAAATAAGTAAGTCCACCACCAAGGAAAAAGTGCTACCTTAAAAATATGTACACCAAGAAGGATTTTGTAGATATCTCATTTATCCAGTGTAGTTCTTGAACACACTTCAGAGTGGGATGAGTTTTATTAACAGTCAGATTCTGGGTCTCACTCCTGAGATTCTGATTGAGGAGATTTGGCTTTCAGCCCTTGTTCCCCTTTCCCTGTCCACTGTCATTAACTGGGGAGACTTTCTCCCCAGGAGAGGCTGGGCAGTGGGTTGCACCTGTCGTGGGAGCACCCTGAACTTTTTGAGGTTAATGTATCAATGAAAGAAAAGGGGAATGAGGGCAGAGACTCGGGGTTCATTCAGTGAATATAGCTGAAGTTCCAACTGTGTAAGCTTAGCTTGGCCGTGGAGAGCCAGGACAGTGATGGAAAGGCCAGCTTAGCCTGAGCCATGATAATAGGGGTGGGGAAAATGGCACCCTCATTTTGCTACCACCCAGTCACCAAAGGCTAAGGCTGGGGAGAACCCACACGGAGTACGGGGGTTGCCTGGCTGGAGTCTGACGGGGCTGAAGAGAGGAAGAGTGTTAGGAGCTAGGGAAGGGCATAAATAAAACCCTAAGCCGAGCATGTGCACAGGGCCGCAGGATGGTGAGGAAACATCATCTTTGGGAGATCAGGTAAAGAGGAAGTTTGGAAGGCTCAGGAATTCAGGTTGAACATCCCTTATCTGAAGTGCTTGGGACCAGGAGTGTTTAAGATTTGGGGGAGGCTCTGGGAAACTGGAAGCTGCTTACTTAGATTGCTTCACTTTGCTTATAAGAAAGCTTCCCATTTCTAATGAATATTTTTCCTTCTAAGTAAGTTTTAAAAAAAACTATTCAAAAACCATCAAGGGCCGGGGATTTAGCTCAGTGGTTCGGTGGCCTGCCTTGCAAGTGCAAGGACCCAAGTTCAATCCCCGTACCAAAAAAAACCAAAACAAAACAAAAAAACATCAAATTGTTCAGAAACTACATCTTAGGCTGTTTGACAAGACAAATCGCCATATCTCAGTTTTAAACTACCTGATGGGCGAGACTACTCCAGATTCACTTTCTTCTCAGTCATACCCAGCAGGACAGTCAATTACTTGAGTGATGACATTTCTCTCTCTCTCTCTCACACCTCTTGACCCATCCTTATACTGTTTAGTAAGCACAAACTTTATTTTAAAAATTAATTTATTATTTATGTAGAGTATTTTAAACCAAAGCCAGTGTTAACTAAAGCAAATCAGATAACCTGTTATTTGTCCCTACTTACTCCTATACTTCTGTATTTTTTCTGTACTTGAACTGATCATTTTCAGCCTCAGGGGATTGGGGGAAAGCCATTTTGAGTAAGGTGGACAGGCACCCCTAAATAATTGAGAACCATTGATAGCCTTTGAGGATCCCAGAAATTACCTCAGTCTCCCAGGCCCAGGTTGAAGAGCTTAGCACTCAGCTCTCAGCCCCAGCTCTTCAGTCCTCTGTGATCTTTGCCTGATCGGAAAGTAGGATAAAGGAAAAGGAAGTTTGCTCATGCCCCCAAAGGGCCCTGACAAAGTGGATATTAAGTAATTGTAGAAGATTGCAGTCTCCACCCCTGCCCAGGGAAGCCTCTCGCCAGCATGTTGTGACATCCACATGTTTTCTCGGGCACCCTTAGCAGGGGTGGGAACAGGATTTCTGGTCATTTCCACACTTGGGGGTGAGCACAAGGCAACACCTGGTGGATGTGTGCTGTTTGCTCTGGAGTAGTTTACATTGGGCCTTAGTGTTGCTTCCTAGGCTGAAGCAGCAAAAGTGGCTATAGATGCTGCCATAAGGAAGGCCAGAAAGAAGAGTATTCATGTGCCCATTTTCTCTGTTCTGGGCATTCCTCTCTTTAGTGTCTCAGTCATTGGTCAGAGCAGCACAGGGTTCCTCTGATAGCCACACTTGCCCAAGCTTTCCCTTCTCTTCCTTCCTGGTCTCGGTTTGCAGAACACTGCACCCTGAGGGAGATAGCAGTAAAGGGGAGTATGTACTTGCTGTGGACAAGACTACCTGCAGGGGTGCAGCCCAGGCAGAGGCACACAGGTGGCTGCTGTGTACTGCACTGCCTGGAATCCAACCAGGTCTGCTTTCCTCCCTACTGCACCGAGAGTGTCCCCACATATTGCCTACACTTGTGCCTTTTCTAACTCATCTTCCAGTCAGACATGGAGGACATTCAGCCTAGTTTTGGTGATGAATTACATGTTTGACTGATGGGCTTGCTGTTCCTGGGGTGGGTATGTGTCTGTCTGTTCCTTGTGCATCTGTATGTTGCTGCTTGGTCCAAGCCTGTGCTGCTTTGGTTCAGAAGACTCCTTTCAGCTCTCTCTATGGGATGAGAGCACTGGCTACAGAAAGTCTCAAAACATGGGGTATTCAATACTCTCCACCCCAGTGTATTTAGCCTGTGCTTTGTCCTGGGAAGGGGAAGAGGACCTGCCCCACCCCCCATGACGTGTGGATGAATTGTCAATGGCCAGGCTATCTCTTGGGAGGGCCCGCCACTTCTCTGTGGGGCTGGCTGGTTCCATCCGCAGAGAGGGGGTGAAGGAAGCCTCTGTTGGCACACTGTGCTATCTTCAATCACATGCACTGGGCTCTGTTTCAGATCCCTGATGGGACAAAGAATGCTTTCCTTGTGCTGGCCCAGCCTTGGTTCCTACAGATCCTGGCAGCTACAGCCCCTCTCTATGCCTCCAGCCAGATGCAGCTACTTGGGCTGAGCCAGGGAACATCTCCCAGGACATTTCAGAAAGTACCTCCCTCCGTGGGTATATGTCTTTCCCCATTTCTGGAGGGCATGTCTCCTTGTAGAAGGCCCCAAATAAAGGAATGAGTGTCCCAGGGAACCTGTCTGTCCTTTAGTCTGTCCAGCAGAGGCCCTTCAACTTTGTCCTCTCTCTGTTGTGTGACATTAATGATCACCATCACCAGAGAAGCCTGGGACAGGGATTGGCCTCATCAGTCAAAGGCCATCATGTTCTGGCCAGAGTGACATCACCCCAGCTGGAGACACCTTCAAATTTTTCTCAGCAGCCCCCAGCTTGTCTACAGGACACAAAAGTATGGGTTGAGGTCCATTTTGTGGGATGCAAAGAGCCATATCATCAAGAGCCCCAAGTGTTGTAGTTAGCTGTGTCCCTTATAGTGGGTGGTGGGTGATTACTACAGAATTTTGAGTTGGAAGGAACGTGATCAGAGACCTGGTTTTAATTCATTTTTAAAACTTGTGATAAAATACACATGCCATAAAGTTTACCACTTTCATCTCCAGAATGCTTTGTCTTCTTGAACTGAAATTTTATTCCTGTTAAACATCAGATTTCCTCACTCCCAGCCACTGCTATCATTCCTTTCCCTGTAGGAACTGGGTTGCTGTGGTCTGCTGGGCTCAGTGGAAAGGCTGGTCAGGCTCTATGAGTAGTATTTGCTTTGGCTGTTTGATAATTCTCAGTGGGGAATCGCAAAGTTTCTCAAAGTGAACCAAGAAAACTAAAGTAAACCAAATGAAAGATTAAATCCTGGCCTGGGCCAGTGTATCTTCTGGGCCCTCCTGCAAACAGTAACCCGCTCCTGACTCAGGTCGTGCTGATAGGCCTGCTGACTGCTGGAGCAAGAAAGGGTTTAGGCTGGGGAGGCAGATGTTTGAGGTGCAACATGGAAGAAGAAAGGATATCCCAAGTTTTGGGAGATACCGTTGTCTTAACACTGGCATGGGAGATCATCAGAGGCTGCAGGGAAGCAGGGTCAGGAGAAGTGCCGATAAGACAATTGCTTGCAGAGACCTCTCCTGGGAAGACCAGGATTAGCCATAAGCATAGGAGATGGGAGTAGAACGTTATGTGTTGGTTACAATTTTCGGTTATGATTTTCTTTTAATAAACCACAATTCTGCCCAAAGTTCTGTCTGCTTCGTGAAGGCATTTCTCTCTCCTTGGACATTGCATCTAAGGGTTTTTCCAAAGATGCACTTCCTCACTGACCACTTGAGACAGAGTGACACCCCAAACTGAGAGCCACCTCCTTGACCTTCCTCCTTTCTCCCTTGCTTAGGTGAACCCACCATATTACGTCCCCCTGGTGGAGCTGATCCCTCACCCTGAGACCGCCCCTGCCACAGTAGACAGAACCCATGCCCTGATGAAGAAGATCGGACAGTCCCCTGTGAGGGTCCTGAAGGAGATTGACGGCTTCATCCTGAACCGCCTGCAGTACGCAGTTATCAGCGAGGCCTGGAGGCTGGTAGAGGTTGGTACCCACCTACCTTCTTTCCAATGAGCAGGACAGCAGAAGTCACTGCTAGGCACCATCGGCGTTCGATGTTCCTTGCTGTGTTTCAGGAACACAGAGCAAGCTTAGAAACAGAATGTAACCTAGCAATTCATTGTTGGAGAGATCACTCTCCTAACATTGTCATTTGCTGTCATAGCATGATGACATACCTCTTTCCTGCCCTTTCATAACATTTCCACATAATTACCTGTGTGTGACATGCAATATTTCCCCACAGACTCAGCTTTTACCATCCCCAATGTTAAATTTTAGTAGGAAAAATTATATTTTTTAACTTTTTATATTTTAAACTTTTTTTTTTTAGAATACTAGATTCTGTTTAATCACTGGATTTTAGTTTTTACAAATACTCTTAAGACAATTCAGCCTTCTAGAGTTTTGGCGGGGGGAAACAGTTCTTGCATGTGAAGAACAGTTACATGCTCCATTTTTCTGTAAATAACTCTATTGTGTACAAACTTTTATTCCCTAATGGAACCCAACTTATTTCTAGAATCTGGGAAATAAAAAAATTAATAAACATTAAACTTACTACAAATAAGTTTATGTTATATACAAGTAGGACCTATATTTTATATACATATTATACACATTTAACCATAAATATCCATAGATTCTATATTCAATGATTCAATTAACCTTAGATCAAAAGTATTTGAGGGGCTGGAGGTGTAGCTTAGTAGCAGAGCCTAGTACACATGAGACCCTAGGTTCAGTGCCGGTCACCCAGAACAAAACAAAAAATTGAAAAAAAAAAAACGGGGTCTGTTCTGAGCATGTTCTGACTTTTTTCTTGTAATTATTCCCTAAACAGTATAGTATAACAACTATTTACATAGCAATTACATTGTATTTGATGTCATCTAGAGATGATTTAAAGTATATAGGACGATGTATATAGGTCCTATGTAAATACTGTACCATTTTATTATAAGAAACTTTAAGTACCCATTGGTTTTGGTGTCTTGGAGGGTCCTAGAACGTATCCCCATGGATACCAAGGGATTACCTGTGTATTTAGCCTCATCTTTTAATTAAAGAACTTTACATATGAAGACATGTCTAGCTGTGTATGTTCCCATGCACATTTGTGCAAGGGTCCCTGGTTCCTGGCAGGAGACAGGTCAGAGCAGCCCCAGGATGTGGAGTGGAAAGTCACAGAATCTAGGGGAGAGACCACTTGGCTCTTACCCATTCCACAAGGCTCCAACAACATACTCCCGGCCATGCTGCAGAAACACGGAGGAGCGCCTGAGGGTCTGCCTAGTGCATAGGCAGGGAAGAAGGGCTTGGCTAAACCTGGCATGGCCCCACAGTTCCTTGTAGTGACTTGCAGTGCTGTGTGCGGGGCCTTACCAGAGACAGGAACCAGGAAGCCAGCTGTGCCTCTCCTTCCGTGGGCATTGCATTACACCTGCTCAGCAGTTCCTCCAGATCCCAGTACATGTGCATGATATACGTGACACTCGCTCCTTCCTCCTCTTAGATTCATCATCCAACCAGCCTGCCCTGTGTGGCTGGCTCAGAGAGGCTAATGCTGTGATTCATTGCTTATATCTGCTTGTTCTATACCTGTAAGATGTGGTTCTGTAATTTCCGCTGTTACACTGGCAGTTTAAATTTCCTAAGGAGTGCAGAACATTTTCAAGTGCTAATCAGTGTTAAGGTATTTTAAAGAAGCCCTGATCTTTAAATGGCTAGCCCCTTTGAGAGCTACTTAGAACATTTCCACCTACCTGGAATAAGACAACAATTTGATAGAGTGTGAGAATAATTCAGTAGCTCAGTAAAACATTGTGGGGTATGGCAGTTTTAACTTTTTACTTGTAAGATATTTATGTTCTGAATTGAGTCTTGCTTTCTCCATTCTGGAAAATGTGGGAAGTATACTCTGACCACTCAGCAGGCTGGCTGCAGTTGGAAAGACCTAAGCAGAATTTTGGTGTCTGCTTGTTGCTAGAAGAGGCAAGCTTAGATTTGCTGTTCTGAAGTTCCTAGTGACATAAGTTTGTGTTCTCCTTTGGATTGTTCTGATTCCCAGATACATGGCAGACTGAGTGCAGTTGTGTTAAGTGGCTGGTAGAATGTTCTTATTGCTGGCTTTCAGGATGAGAGACCTCCTAGAAAGTGACTCCTGAGTGTGACTCTGTGTTTGCCTCACTCCTCAAGTTCCCATAAGGAGCTGAGTGCTAAAATCTAGCAGGATAAATTGGTGCCAACATGAGAAGCCAAACGAAACGGCGGGAAGATGAGGGATGTGAGGAGGGAACCCAAAGATTTGCCTTGTAGGAAATTCTGGAAAATAATCTGTCCAAAAACAAGGATAACCTGCAGAAAATGAGAACTGAGACTGATCTAGAAGTGCAGGTGTGTCGGTCTAGGTTGGATGGGAGCTTGGATGGGAACAAAGCTCCTGCTGATGCTGAGCTCCCACAGGAGTGAGGTGCACAGAACAAGATAGAGAAGAAGCTGAGACATTTGCTTTTGCTCTTCCTTTTACCATCTCTGCTCAGCAGCAGCCCCTGATTTGGCCACCTGGGTACTTGATTCAACATGGGAGGGCTGAGGACCCTGGCACACTGGGTGCAGCCAAATGGACACCTTGATTTTCACAATGGAATCACTGTGCCAGATGCAAAGCATCCCCACTTTAGAAGGCAGTGTGTGCCTGGCACAGCTCCCATTAAATGGGTTGGTTTAGGGACACTTCTCATAAGACAGTACATGCTGTTTATGGGCTGTTTCCTCTTCAGATACTGCAAGTTAGCAAAGGGTAGCAAAGCTCTAAGAACTCCACCCTACCCTGCTGTGAATCCGCATGCATGCCCAGAGCCATGTCTGGTTATGGGTTAAATGACTCCCCTCTGACTCACACCTTCAGAGCCAGTCAAACTTGAATTTGTATTTGGGGGTATTTTGGCAGTTGAACTTGAGCTGAGATTTGGGATGTTCCAAGTTTACCTCGAAACTTTTAAAAGCTCTGGACATGGTGTTATACACCTATAACCTCAGCTGTTTGAGAGGCTGCGACAAGAGGATTGAAAATTCAAGGCCAGTTGGGAAAATTAGCAAGACCCTTTCTCAAACTAAAAAATTTTCAAAGAGAGCTGGTGACATAGCTCAGTGGTAGAGTGTTCCTGGGTTCTATCACCAGTACTGCAAAAAACAATGACAGAAAGCAACTTTGTAGAGCAACTTCAATATCAAAAGAAGCAGAACTGGAGATAGTCTTATAGTAAGACTAAAGACTGATGCACATTTTAAGTTCAGGAGATCTACAGGTCCTGCAGAGCTTCCCTGCAAGTGAGGCCTGGGCTGGATTCCACCTGCAGCCAGAAGCAGCTGATCCTTGAACCTGGACCAAAGCAGACTGAATGAGCTTCCAGGTGGGGAGTTGCCCCCCTCCCAGGACTGCCTCTGGATGGTCTGTCTCCATTTTCTCTGGATTCACAAAGCATATTGAAAATGGGCCTTTTCTGCTTAAGCCAAGTTTGGTGCATTCATCGGTTAGGGCTGTTAGATCCACAGTTAGATCAAATCCACCTGTGACTTTCTTGAAGTCTGGCTGGAGTTGGACAGGCAGTGGGCCTGGCTAGAACAAGGGCTTGAGGTTCCACTGGGTATGGTGGTGTCTTGGTGCTGATGTGGAAAGAGCAGAGCACACTGTGTTACACTTGCTCACTGTTGATTCAGGAATTACACTGGTTGATGGATGTTGAACCAGCCTTGTGAGGACTAAATCCCTGTTAGTCATGTGTCCTTCTTTTGTTTTAAATTTTAAATATTTGTTTTATTTTCTTTTTAAGATTCTTTTTGGTACCAGAGATTGAAGTCAGGACCTTGCACTTACAAGGCAGGTGTGGTGCCACTGAGCTAAATCTCCAGACCTAAATATTTGTTTTAAATTGGCAAATGATAGTTATGTATATTTATGGTGTACTCTGTGATGGTTTGATATATTTGAGGATGATGATATCAAGCTGACTAGCATACCTATCACATCAAATACATAACTTTTTATAGTGAGTATATTTAAAATGTATTCTTTTAGCAGTTTTCAGATATACATTAACAATGTTACTGTACTGTGCAGTACGTCTTGAAAACTTACTCTTCCTCTCTAACTGAAACTCCATGCCCTTTAACCAGTGTCTCTAAATCCCTCCTCCCCATCCTCTAGTAACCGCCCTTCTACTCTCCGCTTTTATGAGTTCAGCTTTTTTAGATGCCCCATATAAATGAGAACATATGGCATTTGTTTTTCTGTTTTGGCTGATTTCCTTTAGTGTAAGGCAGCACATCATGGCAGAGGAAACCATTTGCTTTAGGGAAGTGAAAAGAGAAAGAGGAAGGACCAGGCCCCATCATCTCCTTCAAGACTACACACCTCCAGTGACTTGAAGACCTCCTGCTATGCCCTGGCTCTTAAGAATTCCAGCACCTCCCAAGCTGGGAACTGAGCCTTTAACACATAGGCCTTGGGGAAATTTGAGATCTAAATTATAACAAAGCCTGTTCATTTCATTGATTTTTCTCAGTTTTTTCCTGTTTTCCATCTTACTAACTCTGAAGGGCATATTTGAATACTTTTACAGCCAAGCATTAAAGACAAATTCTTAAAAAGGCAGAGGCAGGGGAGGAGGGGTGCCCCTGGAGTTCACCAAGGGTTCATCATTCCTGGGTCAGAGACTGGTGGTGCTGGGAGTAAGGCCAGTCTTGTCTTATGTCTGGGCACCCCGGGCCCTGTCACACAATCTTGCTGCTGCCCATTCCTTGATAGCCTCCACACAGCCCTGTAAGCACCTCACACTTTCTGGAGCAGAATAAGCACAAATATCCACAGGAATGAAGGTGCTGGGATCTGCTGCATTGCCTCACAGATGTTCACCACACTCCCTCCTCTTCCAGTGGGGCTTCAGGTTTGAGACAGATCATCTCTTTATGAACTAGGCAAT